AGGGTGTTTTGCGCGAGCGTCTGATCAGTTAGGGTAGTATTCTACTTGCGAAAGCGAAAAGGAGAGTCATTGCTGATAAATTCTCTTACCAACTAGCGCATAACGTGTTCTCTCTGTCAGAAATTACGACTTTTCCTACATTCCTTATTTTCGCACATTGTGTTTCTGAAAAAGAGGCCATAAATCTGTGTCTGTTTCCGATCGAATGAAATTGGGCTGTGTTATAATAATTCCGCTGCACGTTGTAAATCACTGTGCAAATGATTTTTGAAAGTGTTCCCAAACACCTTAAATTGAAGTTAATTAATTAAGGCGTGTATTTGCATAAACCGGTTTATTTCGTTTCCATCAAACGCGGTTTTTTTATATGTTTGTTAATGCGTTTAACACTTGTTTGCTTTTTGTAGGTCAATTGAGATGAAACTTTTTTGTCATGTGTATAACACTTCTGATATATTTACATTATATTAGAGATGACTGTTTAAAAATTATGTCTGGGTATCTTTGATGTGTGTAATTATGAAGCTATGCTAGAATGAAGAATGTCTTCTAATGAAAAATGTCATATAACAAAAAATGTTTTATAACGAAAAATGTCTTATAATGAAATATTTTTTATAATGAAAAATGTCTTATAATGAAGAACGTCTTGTAATGAACAATGTCTTATAATGAAGAACGTCTTGTAACGAAAAATGTCTTATAATGAAAAATATTTTATAAATAAGGAAAAATGTCTTATAACGAAAAATGTCATATAACGAAAACTGTCTTATAACGAAAAATGTCAAATAACGAAAACTGTCTTCAAAAGAAAAATGCCGTTCTGAGTGAGTTAACAAATTTTGTCAAAAAGAGCAGCGTTGCTTCTGAATTTTGTATTCAAAATTGAGCTTCCATTGTCAGTGCCGATACACAAATAACACTTATCCCTAATTTCGAAAATTAAAAAGATACATGAAAAAGCCATTCGGAGCGCGTTTAAACACGCGATAAATATGCAAGGATAACGAGATAGTAGTAAAATATGCAAAGCAGGAAAGATAAAAAATATGAAAAATGATTACCTAGGTCCCTATTCTTGAACAATTTTCTTTAGAAATATGCGCATGCATAAATATACATAATTTAACGGTGATCAAGCGAATGTTACAAATGACACGCTGCCGAGTATAAAAGCTTGATACGATTTGATAAGATAAAATTACCTACTGTCTAACAGCACTTATGACACTGAAGTTTAAAATTGATCGTATAAAATTCTATAATTTAATCAATATTCTTAATCAGCTCCAGATGAGGTATAATCATTCGAAAATTGCACGTTCGTTTATTAACGAACGATCCATTAATAATTTCAAGCAGAGTTCATGTGAAAGTAATGAAGTATTAATTAAAACCTAAGCCTCAAATTAATATACCATAAGTGCTGTTTTCTGTTACTTTTAAGTTAAATTTTAATTTATTTGTAACGTGACATTGCAGCATCATAACATCTTAATGATTCGTTAATAGATTTTTGATGCGATTAATTGAAAAATGATTAAGATGAACTTCTGGTCATCAATGCTTCACACAAGAAAATTAATATTAAAATCTACTTTAAAATCGAAGATAAAGACACTTATATAACATTTTTTATGTGGATGGAAATATTTTAATAAGCACTTCTCGTGTATTAAAATAAGTGCACTGCAAATATGTGATTATATGCAAATATAAAATTAAAATTATAAAATTGCTAATTTTCCTAAAAGCATCATTAGCTTTACAAGACATAAATAACACCTCGTAAGGTGTGCATTGTGTAAATTTGATCGAATATTTGGTAAGATATATGTTTTCTAAATATCAAATAAGTGTCCTTAATAAGTCGGTCTCTACTTTCGAAGTTAGCACGTCAACGGCATAGCACGTTGCGTTCTACTTGTTTAATGCACCAGTATTAAGTGTACCATATCAATGATGATTCACAGGTTTTTGGATTAAATCGATAGCTGCAAGTTTTTACCGACGGTTTTTTGCCTGTTGGAGTTCTTAAACACTCGATCTATGAAGGTTTGATGATCTTTCGGATTTGTGGACTTTGAAATTTTTAGAGTTAGGCACTTTGGAAGTTTCGAACTTTTAAGAAAGCCTCAAGTCTCTTTTGAACTTTTAAGAATTTGGGATTTTTGTCATTTGGGACAGAGAGTGAAATTTTTACAGTTTGGGACATCGAGAGGCTCTGACAGTTTATGATGAAGTGATAATGGATCGAATGAAAATGCACCCGGTACTTCTTTGAAATCGATTAAATAGCGATTTAGTTTCTATCTTCGTGCATAATGACAGTCGTTGTTGAAGCGTATCGATAAATGAAAAACGACGAAAGTGTTGGGCGAGACCTACGTTGCCTTATGGATGAATATTGCAAATTCATTTGAACCACTCTCACTTTTCTATGTTTGCTTCGATGATATTGAGAATGATCGTATTAAGTCGGTTTTAATAGACTGTGATGCAAATTGTGAATGGAATCACATTTCCACTTATGATACATTATGCATAAACACACGTGTATTAGTTTTAAAGATATAAATTGTAAGGATTTTGAGGATGCAAGTAATTGTAAGTAACTGTAAATAATTGTAAGTAATTGTAAGTAATTGTAAGAAAAATTTCTTATCAAGATCTTCGATACCAAAGTGCATAAAATTTTGATAAAAACTTTGCCAACAAAGTGCACAAAATATAAATTCAATTCGAAGTACCTCAGCAATTTCATAACAAATGTGACATAAGCAGTTCAGCTCCATTTACGTACCAATGCACAATAACAATACACATTTTCTGCATATCATCCAGATAAATTTCCCTCCAGAAACCTTGGATAGGAAACATGAAGGTACAAGAGAAATAGTCACACGAAGAAACTGCAAATTACACCGAAATAAAAGCATCAATAAATATAACCGCAAAAACAGCATCTTTCGTTCAACATAACATTATAAACGAGGATATCAATGAAAACATGTGGCTCATAATGACCGTTTATGTCCATGCGATACGAGGACCACCGCCGGTACTCTTCCTCTCAATAATTAGACTTTCAGTACGTCTATTTTCACCTCGCTTTAATAATAAGTTACTGCCGCTTTCGAGTCTTCAAATCGGTTAGTACATCGGTATGTGTCATCGGTACCCGGTTTCCTAACTGCGACTCTTCTTTTAACAGCTGGTATTTACTGCGTTAGAGAATATGTGTCATTCCTGCAGATTTCGTGTTGCTCTAGATACCGTTATTTTAAATTTGCTAGCTTTTAAATTAGCTAGCTTTTAAATTAGCTATGTGTATTTTTAAGCGGTTGGCTGACAAGGTTTTTTGTGGATGTTGGAAGTTTTGGGGTATTTGGAAATTTGGAGATTTGAGGAATGTGGAGATATTAGAGTTTTAGAGATGTAAGGGATGTAGTGATATAGGGATGCAGGAATGTAGGGATACTCTGCTCTGTATCTACTCTGAAGTGGTTGGCTAACAAGGTGTTTTGTGGATGTTGGGATTCTGGAAGTTTTGGGGTATTCGGAAATTTGGAGATTTGAGGAATGTGGAGATATTAGAGTTTTAGAGATCTAAGGGATGTAGTGATATAGGGATGCAGGGATGTAGGGATATTCTGCTCTGTATCTACTCTGAAGTGGTTGGCTAACAAGGTGTTTTGTGGATGTTGGGATTCTGGAAGTTTTGGAATATTCGGAAATTTGGAGATTTGAGGAATGTGGAGATATTAGAGTTTTGAAGATCTAAGGGATGTAGTGATACAGGGATGCAGGGATGTAGGGGTACTCTGCTCTGTATATATTTACTCTGAAGTGGTTGGCTAACAAGGTGTTTTGTAGATGTTGGATTCTAGAAATTTAGGGACCTGCAGAAATTTAGAGATCTGAGGGATGTGGAGATATTAGAGTTTTGAAGATCTAAGGGATGTAGTCATATAGGAATGCAAGGATATAGGGATACTCTGCTCTGCATATTTCTACTCTGAAATATTTGGTTATCAAGGCATGTTGTGGATGTTGAATTCTAGAAATTTAGGGACCTGCAGCAATTTAGAGATCCGAGGGATGTAGTGATACAAGAGTTTTAGAGATCTAAGGGATGTAATGATACAGGAGTTTTAGAAATCCAGGAGATTTTGATTTTAAGGATCTGAAGGATCGAGGGACTCAGAGTTTGGATCATTGTTTCTAAGCACTTAGAGAAAGTCACAAGCGTTCCAAGAGAAGGTCCTAACCATTTAGAGTTTCAGAGATCTGAAGATTCTATAAATCCAAAGTTCTGAATAAAATTCTATAAATCCAAAATTCTGAGTATGAACTCCTAAGAATGTAGGAGGTCATAAGATCTAAGGGATCTTGAAGTTTAAGGATCCAGTAGCTCAAAGGATTCGGAGCTTGAATCAGAGTTTCAGGAATCTGAAGGCTCTTAGCATTTAGCATTTTATGAATCTGAAGGTTTTATGAATTTTATTGACTCTTAACGATGTAAGGATTTCTGAGATGTACAAGTGTTAGGTATCTAGAGGTTCTAGCTGCTTAGAGATTGTGGGAGTTTGCAACTTTAGAGATGTAGGATTCAAAGCTTCAGACGGGTGCACTAAATATGTGTTCTACATAGGTGTTCTGGTGATCCAAGCTTATTAGAAATGTATAGGTTTTAAGAATATATCAATTAAGAGATTCTAGAGGTCCAGTGTCTACCTGTGTCTACCTGTTCAGTCAGGACCTGAGTGTCTGAACAATGAAACTCTAAGGATTCTGGGGCCTACATAAAATCTACATATTCCAGGTTGTAGAAATATATAGACGTACGAATAACAAACATAAACTTCTCACTACATATCAATGCATCTGACCACATTCGTACAAAGCATTCGAACTCCAGAACAAAGAAAATTGAAACACTTCTCCGAAAAGAGTTACACATCCACTCATAAAAGGCGTATCAAAATCCGATTTACCTTGTTGCAAGTAAAAAGTCGCGTTCCAAAGTAAAAGTTCGATCACTGCACCGTTTCCGCCGACCTCGATAATCCAGGAGCAGATATCCCACGAAAAACTTTTTCCACCAACCGGAGATCTGATTCGAAGTCCTCACTCCGAACAGAGTTCACTGACTGCGGCTATTTATCAAGTTGACGATCACAAAGTGTTCCCCACATAAAATAGTCACACTCGAGACGAACACAAGATCACAATTACGATGGGACGCGTTCGCGAGGACACACGCTCGTTTTCGGCAATGCGTGCGTGTGTGTGTTTGTTCGCGAGCGTGTGCACGCGTGTACGCGAATACACATGTACAAAGTGTGGGTCGAACGATCGATGCTGCGTGAATAGTCCGCGGCGGAGCGGACTGACGGCTTAAGTATTGGTTAAGCAAGTGGGGTTCGGGTAAGAGCGGCGAGTAGGGTGGGAGCGTGTGGGCCTTAGGTGATCGCCTAAAATCCTGTGCCACGGGGAGTCAAGGTCTGTATCCCTTCCTTGCCGAGTAGGTCGCGAGAGAGGGGGTCACCTGTGTACACCCTCCGGCCAAGGTCGTTCGGCTGCTACGAACGCGTTCCTGTACGCACCTGTGCCCGAATGGTGCCTCTCCACCGATCTTTGACCTTCTTTCGTAACCTATTTTGTACTTATAGTAACCCCATTGTGGCAGATGATTGAGGAGAGGCATTTTTTTGGGATATATTAATGGTGGAATTTTGGGGATTTGGGGATTTGGGGATTAGGAAATATGGGGATTTGGGAATTTGGGAACTTGGGACTTGGGAATTTGGGAATTTGGGAATTGGGGAATTATGGAATCTGGAAATTATGAAAGTGGGGAATTAGGGAATTGGTGAATTAGGGAATTGGGGAATTGGGGAATTAGGGAATTGGGGAATTATGGAATTTGGAAATTAGGAAATTGGGGAATTAGGGTATTGGGGAATTATGGACTTGGGAAATTATGGAATTGGGAGATTATGGAATTAGGAAATTATGGAATTGGGAAATTATGGAATTGGGGAATTAGGGAATTGGGGAGTTATGGAATTAGGAAATTGTGGAATTAGGAAATTATGGAATTGGAAAATTGAGAAATTGGGGAGTTGGGAAATTATGGAATTGGAAAATTGAGAAATTGGGGAGTTGGGAAATTGGGAAATTGGGAAAATGGGAATTGGGGAACTATGGAACCGGGGAATTAGGGAGTTAGGAAATTAACAAATTAGGGAATCAGAGAATTAAAATTGTGCAAACGTAACTAAGTAACCTGTCAATTTACCAGCACATGAATTGCTCACAAGTGATATCATTCTACAGGTCTATGAATGATTTAAATCTCTTTTTTTTATTAATTACGCTACTTTAACACCGACACACTAGTTTTTCTGTATCTCCTCTCAACCATGGAATGCATTCATTCATTTATTGTACGCAAAAATAAAAACTTGAAATGTCACGCCAGGATTGTACAAAGAAATGTCTTATCGAATATTAATATACTTCATGCAATACATTGAAAGCAGTAAAAGATCACGGTATGCTGTCTCGAATAGTTCAGTTTACGACCTCGCGCTGTCATGGTGGCGATCAGCGTTGTATTTGCGCAGGAAGCTGAAAGAAATCCTTTTCATTCGGTTTGTTTGATATTATCACACGTGTTATTCACTTTGGAACTTGTCGAACACGTCAATTTTTATTATTTCCTGTTTACGTCAACTTGACCAATCAAATTTTACGTTAAATTTGACCAATCGAATTTTAATATTATATTACGTCAGTTTGTCTGATGTATCTTTGTTTATTCATCTTAATTAGTTTTATTGGTTATCTCATTTTTTTGAATCTACAAAATTGTGACTATGCAAAATCGAGTTTCGAAGTCGAAAATTCTTGCATCGATGTTACGTGTTGATGAAGTAATGTGACGAAGCTAATAGAGTTGCAGAGTTAAACTTGGACTATTTGTGTACCTCTTGTACGTCACGAGTCTTGGGAAATTATAGAACTGGGGAATTATGGAATTGGAGAGTTATGGAATTGGAGAAATTAGAATTGGTAGAATTGGGAATTGGGGAATTAGGGTATTGGGGAATTATGGAATTGGGTAATTATGGAATTGGCGAATTATGGAATTGGGAAATTATGGAATTGGGGAATTAGGGAATTGGGGAGTTATGGAATTTGGAAATTGTGGAATTGGGAAATTATGGAATTGAGGAGTTATGGAATTAGGAAATTGTGGAATCTGGGAATTATGGAATCGGGGAATTATGGAATTTGGAAATTAGGAAATTGGGGAATTAAGATATTGGGGTATTATGGAATTGGGGAATAGTGGTTCGTGACTTATACTTCAGCTGTGATTAATTTTAATCGAATTTTGAATACGTTCAATTTGAGTTTCAAGTCCGATTATAATTTACACAGTCAACAATTGACACAGCATTTAATATCAAGTTGACATAACATTTCTTTGTCTGTTTTGATATTGTAAAGATTAGTCAGTTGTGACGCATCTGACAAATAAATCATAGCGCAAGGGGTTATACGAGTGTTGTCCACGTCAGCTGTATAATCACTCGTATAATTATTTTACGTTTGAATAATCATTTCTTATAAGAAAAATATAGCAATTAGAGAAAGAAACGAGAGTTGACAGTGAGTGGAACGATGAGTTCGCAGAAGAAGATAAAAAGAGGCGATCAATGATCACCTTGAACTTGTTTGGGACAGTGTCATAACTATCCACGTTTCGATCTTTGATCTCCAGAAATATACATATGTATATTTATATATGTATGTATTCTAAGAAACATCACAAGCACTTAACATGAATCTCGTTTTCATTCTATGGAAATGAGGGAAAATTGGATGTCAGTAAAAAATTGCTATGTTAATATTAATTCTATTAATTTGCGTTGCGACATCTCGAATGCAACGTGATCTTCCTAGTAATTGAATAAGAAAAAAATTGATCACTAATTGCAAAATGGCTGTACTGGATATTATTCTGAATAATTAGTAAAATGTATCATACATGTCTCTCTCTCGTTTAAGTCACAAATTAGATTTTCAAATATCAATAATACTTGGGAAATTGGGAAATTGAGAAATTGGGAAATTGGGAAATTGGAGAATTATGGAATTGGGAATTTATGGAACTGGGGAATTATGGAATTGGGAAATTATGGAAACGGAAAAATGTGGAATTTGGAAATTAGGAAATTGGGGAATTAAGGTATTGGGGAATTATGGAATTGGGAAATTATGGAATTGGGAAATTATGGTATTGGGGAATTATGGAATTGGGAAATTATGGAATTGGGAAATTATGGTATTGGGGAATTATGGAATTGGGAAATTATGGAATTGGGAAATTATGGTATTGGGGAATTATGGAATTGGGAAATTATGGAATTGGGAAATTATGGTATTGGGGAATTATGGAATTGGGAAATTATGGAATTGGGAAATTATGGTATTGGGGAATTATGGAATTGGGAAATTATGGAATTGGGAAATTATGGTATTGGGGAATTATGGAATTGGGAAATTATGGAATTGGGAAATTATGGTATTGGGAAATTATGGAATTGGAAAATTATGGAATTGGGAAATTATGGTATTGGGGAATTATGGAATTGGGAAATTATGGAATTGGGGAGTTATGGAATTAGGAAATTGTGGAATTGGGAAATTATGGAATTGGGAAATTATGGAATTGGGGAGTTATCGAAGAATCCCACATTCTTTCCAGTTATTGTTTAATTAGGATATCTATATCTGTGTCTACATGAATAAAGCAGTAATCAGTAACTATTTATCTACAATATTGTTATTTATCTGAGCTATCAATCGCTGGGAAAATAACTTTTCTCAAAATCAATATTTCCGATGATGCTCAGATATTCCATCATTAACACCTTGATTCTACATCGAATTGAGCCATGCAGCTTTCTCTCGTATTCAGTGCAGTAGATTAAGGTCGCTTCTTCTACATAGTAGATCAAGATATGAAGAAGAAGAGTCACGTGTAATTCTTTAATATTTTATTTTACGTCACACTTCGAACAGGGGTGTACCCTGTGTATAGGATCATACATAATATTATAGAATTTATATGCGCAACTTACTTTGCATTTCGGTTTCCATTATAACTTAAGTGAGTTTTCCAGTAACAATTTTTTACATTTTCAAAATTTCAGATAAGTCCTTACGTGACTGCTTTATGCCGTAGTTAAGTTTATCTACCTTTCGTGTATTATTTTCGACGTTAAATAATATTTGATAAGTCCAAGTAATGTACAAACTATGTACCTTGATGTACTGATTACAAGTTTTAAGGAAATGTGTTATTTTGTCGGTGCCTGTATCGAAAAAGAGAATTGCAACCATCACGCAACTCCTTTTTCGAAAAGAAAGATAACAGTTACTTAAAATTATCTGAATAACAAATGATTTGAGAGGTAATTGAGTGAAACATTAGTGAAATATTAGGGCTTTGAGAGTTTAGAATTTTTATGATTTAGAACGTTACGAGCTTGGGGCTTTGAGAGTTTAAAATTTTGCTAATTTGGGACTTTGAGAGTTTAAATCTTTGGTAATTTGGGACTTTGAGGGTTTGGGGCTCTGAGAGTTGTGGACTTTGAGAGTTTGGAGCTGTAAGAGTTGTGGACGTTGAGAGTTTGGGGCTCTGAGAATTTAAATCGTTGGTAATTTGGGACTTTGAGTTTGGGGCTCTGAGAGTTGTGGACTTTGAGAGTTTGGAGCTGTGAGAGTTGTGGACTTTGAGAGTTTGGAGCTCTGAGAGTTGTGGACTTTGAGAGTTTGGAGCTGTGAGAGTTGTGAACTTTGAGAGTTTGGATCCTGAGAGTTTAAATCCTTGGTAATTTGGGACTTTGAGAGTTTGGGGCTCTGAGAGTTGTGAACTTTGAGAGTTTGGGGCTCTGAGAGTTTAAATCTTTGGAAGCTTCCTACTTTGAGAGATAGGTGCTTCGACAGTTTAGAATTTCCCTAAGTAGGGACTTTAGAAGTTTGCGACTTTGAGAGCTCAAGTCTTTAGAAGCTTGGTACCTTGACAATTTATGACTTTGAGAGTTTGGAATTTTGGTCAGTTCAGACGTTAAAATTTTGTGACTCTGTAAATTTATCACTTGAGTTCGTGTGAATTTAGGAATATAGAACATTGCTAGATATTGAGAAAGTGTGACTGTAGAAGTTTGGTACTGTAGGCCACTGAGAGTTTTTTTCCTAAGTTTGGAAGAGTTCCTCGTTTCTCTATATTCTAAAATAGTATTTCAATCGATAACATAAATCTATTTTCCCTCTCTTCTCAAATTTTCCTCAAATCCTTCCAAAACACCATTTCATTCTAACAT